TTCTAGTTTATGCTACATTTCCGTCTCCGAAATGAAGAGCTGATATTATAATAAGGAAGCCTCCAAGAATGGGGAGAGGTGGTGGGTGTTTGGTGGCCAATGGTGCAATTAATGATTATTTGAATCCAGTGGCAGTCTTACCAATGGCATGCAGTCTTTCCAATGGCATGCAGTCTTTCCAATGACATGCAGTCTTATCTATGGCGGTCTTTCCAATGGCGCTCTCCAAAGGCAATCTTTCCAAATGCAATCTTGCCCGATCCCACTCACTTTTCAAACATGTGCCTACTTTGCGCTAGTTGCTCTTTATATTATTATTTCTTTTAAAGAACATTATTTGTTTATTTTAACGTAAAGAGTCAGTCATGAAACATAGGTCCCGGGAAACGAGGCTTAAACTAATCACCTGATTAATACCTCTTCGGGCGAATTTTAAAACTGCTAACGGTAGGCCATCGGATCCGGCCATTTGATGACGTAATACGCTCATCCTGTTGATGTTAAGGACCACTACATCATCATCTCTGGACAGGAACCTGTCCCGAAAGCATTAAAACTCTGACGTCGCCATTACATCCAAGGCACATCACATTCGTTAATTAAGTTTTTCTGTAATATCGTTTTACTTTTTAAATTATTTTTTTATTTTTTTTTTGTGTCAAAAAGAAAATGTCCGTTATTAACCGACGCTCGCCAAGTAAGCCCAAACGTTTTAATGATCAAATATGCGGCGCCATTATAGTTTATGAATCCCAGGGGCAATTTAAGAAATGCTATGTTGTCTTTGTTTACGACGTTCTGCGATTAAATCTCTACACGTGTCGTATTTTTTTTTTTAACACATTTTTAATTATAATTTTATTATTTTTTTGTTAACTTTTGTGGAGATGTCAGACATGTTTATTGACAAATTGTTTTGTTTTTTTTTAAGTGCTTTTATTGACTTTGTTTTTTTTTCTGGACAACATGTGAGAGGCATGTGGTTTTCTGCATGATAACGCTATGCTTCGGTCAGCGCAAGCGCACACAGAGCGTGATGATCACACACAGACCGTGATGATCACACACAGAGCGTGATGATCACACACAGAGCGTGGTGATCACACACAGAGCGTGGTGATCACACACAGAGCGTGGTGATCACACACAGACCGTGATGATCACACACAGAGCGTGGTGATCACACACAGAGCGTGGTGATCACACACAGAGCGTGGTGATCACACACAGAGCGTGGTGATCACACACAGACCGTGATGATCACACACAGAGCGTGATGATCACACACAGACCGTGATGATCACACACAGAGCGTGATGATCACACACAGAGCGTGCCACAGCGTATGCTCAATGCGTGGCATTCTATAGTATGCATCAATGGCATTGTTGGTCAATATACGCCCATCACCAAATACGCCTCCTAGTTTTTTCCAACAAAACGTCCTCAAACGTTGGCGACTACGTGGACTTTATAAAAAAAAAAGCTTCTATCCAGGACACGTCTACAATAATGATTTTTTTTAATAATGGGTTGGGGGGGGTGTGACTATTTGGGGAATGTAAAAAGACAATTCCCAGCTTTGAACGGTGTCAAAAGGAGCACGTGATCCCATTTCAAAAGATACGAGTCGAACAGGTGAGAGAAACGATGCGTGACTAAAAACCCCCCCCCCCCCCCCAACCAAAAAAAAAACTATGTAATGGTACCGTATTGAAAAAAAATCACGATACACGTGATGGGGTAAAGAGACGGAGAAAATACACAGTGAAAAAAATGTCTGTTAAAAAAGGAAAAATTCCGGGGTCAAAGACCGTCCTTGGTCAATGCTCTGTTCTAATTGATTTGTTTTTTTGTAAAAGAGAGATTATGTCAGACCGTCGGGTGTGCACAGTTAAAACATATTGAAGAATGTATCTTTACTTATGCTATGAATGACTCGTATTGACTTAATTAAGACACGCAAAAATTTCACCTTCCGATAATGTCAACATTTTATTGTCTTATTTGAATAAAAAAAATTCAGTCAATAGTCTCAATAGTAATCATAGTAGTATGCTTAATGTACAAGAGTCATGTATCATCATTAACTTTGCCAGAGGCGTAGCGTGGTGGGGGCAGGGGGGGGGACAGATGTCCCCGGGCACCAGCTAGTTAGGGGCGCCAAAATGTGCTTTGATATTATTTTATTGATGAAAATAATGGGTTTGAGAGTTGAAAAAAAGAAAAAGGGGCGCTAAAAATGGATCTTGTCCCCGGCGCAAATCACCCTCGCTACGACACTGAACTTTGCTGAGTAGTGAATCCATTCAACAGTATGTCAGCATGTGTATAAGACAAGAAAAGATGGCACATGGGTAAAAAAAAAAAAAAGAAAAAAAAAAAAAAAAACAATAGGAAGGTGTATAAGAACAAAGCAGCCCACACGATGTTCGCTGCTGCTTGTGTAGCACTATGCCTCGCCCTGCTACGGGCGTGAGATGAATGGGCGATGCACAAGGGAGAGCATCACATGGCTCTGCCTAGGGTTTGTCTACACGTGTTATCAATTACGTGGCTTTGTTTCTGATCCCCACTTTCGCATTAACCTCGTTCGTGATCTAAGACACACACTGATACTTCCACAGTCGCCCGCAGGCTCACACATCACACAGCACCAGCAAAGCCCCACAATTTTACAAATTTTTTTTAACGAATCCAGAGAGTGTTATAGTTATTGAGTACCTGCCCTCTAACACTTACTCACAGAGGTGGACACTGAAGCAGCGCATAGGCTGCCTACTGCCTGCCTCATTCGAGGGACACTGGCAGTATATGGGATAAGTGGCATTATGTAGGATACTGATATAACACAGAGGCGCAGTGGCCTGAATGGCAGCATATAGGGATACCTGCTACTTAAATAAAGAGGGGCACAATGGCAGCATATTGACTACCTGCTACAAAAGAGGGACGTGCTTGGAAATTCATGATCAGGAAAGGCAAGTGTGCACCTCTCCCATTTATGAGAGAAAATATGATATACCGGCATGATAGATAAGAATATTACTGCACCACAGTTGTAATTTTTATAATCAATCGCTTCCTGTGTGGTATGTATGTTGAGATATCTCCGGACTAGAAAATTATCATTTATACAGTTGCACTGTTTCATTAAATGAATATCATAATTTATACATTAAATTGAAACCTCATATTATACGTATTCAAAAGTATAGATTTAGTTGACTAATTAGTCACACGATAATAGGCCTACATGACATGTTGTAGGCCCCTACTTACTATTACTATTACTTATTAATTTAATAAATAAGTTATAAGTATATTTTTTACATATATATTTCACATAATAAATAATGTCATTGATTCATTAACGATGTTGCAATCTGATATAATTATAAAGCTGATTTGATAAGGTTAATGTAAGTAATAAGTGTATATAAGTGAAGTATTAACAATTATGCACACAAACAGAAAAGTGTTGGCCTCATCGAAGTGTGCCACTCACTCTCGCCGCAACTGTAACACAAAAAACAAAGACCTCAGCCTCAGTAGTTGAGTAGGCCAAAATTACTACGAAAGGAATGACTCATTATTTTTGGCAAAATAAAAAGGGTAACATCAAAAACCTCTCCTATCGAGAAATGTACACCCAACGATCGATGGTTTGTTCTGACTTTCTAACTGGGACCATCACCACGCGATGCGATGGTGAGTTAATATCAGCTATTCATCTGGAAGAGCTGCACACTTTCGCCTGCTCACTCACTTCACAATTCAATAACATTAACACAGATTTACACATTGAAAGACGCAGTCTAAAAGTATTATCCATTCATGCATAAACATATACATACCACTCTAAGACAAAAATTGTATCCACTTCTTATTTTGAAAATACAGTATTCCCTTGCCGGTATGTACACACGACTCCTTTGTTTCGCTTTGCCCCAGCAGCTAACGTTTGTTCATTTTATCTTCAAAACATTGCTCGGTACTCGGCTCGGGTAATTTGCATAAATTTGCTATGACCTCAACACCTAACAACGACTCATTTCCATCCACTTCCGGAAAGAAGTTTTATAATACTTAAAAATTATATGTTCGATCAAGCTTACTTGTATTGTATATTTAATCGTATGATTTAAAATATCTTATATTAGTTAATTATTTATTTAACCCATGATTTTATCTGAATTTCATCTAATTAAATGATTATACATTTTCAAAGAAAGGTCAATAAAATATTACTACGCCACTTTTAGCCTCGCCATTTTTTCGGAATAACAGGCTACCCTCTACGGAGAAATGAAAATCAAAACATTGACGCATGGCTTCCAGTTAAAATTGTGAATGAATTTATTGGTTTGTGTAGAGCTATTTTAATGAGTGAGCTCAGTTTCCGAAAGAGCTTATTAAGTCGTTTGAAAAATTTGTTGCTTTGAAAAGAATAATTCTCTTATTCAGCCCAATCCACACCGTTGAAACCGGCGACCAGACCGTTTTTAACTATTTATGTCAAAGGTGAAAGGTTACTCAAATGCTGTTTTGACCTTTTGCATGTTGGGTTGTATTTTTCTTTTAAAAAAATGTATAGCGTAATTCATTCATTTAAAAAAGGGTGTGAATTACAATCTATACTTTTTAAATTTATTTTTTTTTAAATAACGCATTATTACTGCAACATAAAGAGGATTGAATTGATAATCAGTTAATCAGGATGTAAAATTCCCACAATTTTTATTGACTTATATTTTATATGATTAAATTATATATTATAATTATAATTATTAGTGAAGCCGAAGCCTAACCCTCTCTGTAAATTTATTAAAAGAGAAAGTTATATTATATGGCCTTATTAAGTAAGTCTAAGCGTAAACCTCTGCCCCTATCACCCTAGCCCTAACTCTACTTTCTATATCTACCCTATGTCTATTATGTTCAACTGAAAATAATGATTATTATTTTAATATGTATTGTAATTGTATAGTAAAAGAAAATTAAGCCAATTATCTGTGTATTAATTATTAATTCTATATCACAATTTATATATACAATATTTACAATATACAATATTTACAATATACATTCAATACAGTACAATTATAATGATTGTTGTCAGTTGTGCAGTAAGGGTTCAGGCTAGGCGTAATTAATAAAAAAAAAAAAAGTATTATGATTAATAACTAGCTAGGAGAATGAGAAGGGGAAGAGGAGGACTTCATTTCTTTTAAAAAATAATATAAGTTTGGGAAAGCACAAAAAGTAAATGTAAGGCAAGAGCTGCCTGATTAGATTTGCCAAAATCAATTTAAATAAAGTATAAAGGCATACTACTCTCTTGGTTTGCATTGCAAAGCAGAAATATTAATACTTAATAGTATTATACCTCTTAGTGTTATGTTATAAAAAATTGCCATATTTATAATTTTTTTTAAATTTATTTTGCAACAGGGTGTGATGTGACTGATTAACAAAAATAAAATGGATTTGAATTCCCTTGGTAGCCTCTCTCACTTTGACACCTTTGATGATGATGTATCCAAAGAAAGTAATGACCTCACAGTTGATGCTGGGTAACTTTAATTTAAATTTTTTTTAAATTAAAAGAAAAAGAATTTGAATTTGAAAATAATGAGTAGGAGCTTTCAATTAGTTTTCAGCAGTTTGAAAATGGTATTAGAATGGGTGTTCTTGACACCTTTCTTGCTGTATCCAAAATTTTCATGAAATGACTGAAAATTTTAATTGATTTGCAGAATTGAATGTATATTTTATTTTTATTTCAGACTCTCCAATGAGGGTCCATTTTTGAGCAGTGTTAGCCAACCTGAGATTTCACATGGTGAGTTGGTCTTTGTGTTTTCTGAAAGAGAAATATTGTAAGCAATGTTCCCTTTAAGCTGCGCGGCCGTGCAGCTATCTCACAGATGCAGCGCAATAGTTTTGAGTATCTGGGCAGCAAATATCCATGTAAGTGTTTGTTTGTGGACTGTAAACCTATGCACACAAAAAAAAATTGATGCTGTAAAACTTTGCACACAACTGTATGATTTTGCACATGAACCAGCAAACCTTAGAGGGAACATTGACTGTAAGGACTGCGATCAGGTTGAAGCAATAAAAAATGTACAAAGGGTAAAGGAAAAACCTAAAGAAGGATGTAAACAGAAAGTGAGCAATTCAGCCAAAAAAGCCTTCCGCGACGAAGAAAACAGGGAAAGTCAGAGACAAACACTCTTAGCTTACATAGATATGTAGTCTATAGAAAATGGTAGACATATTCGAGACAATAAATTATAGACTGCATTCATGTCTTGTAAATGAAATATAAGAACAAGGTATGCTAAACTTGAATTCATAGACAGGACAAAAGATCTGGATGTTTTGGCTTATAGCCTTCGTCGGCAAACAAAACAAATAGAAGCAGAACAAGTGACAGAGCACATTAAGACATATTCAAATACAGACCTGACCCTTGAAATTTAGTTATTTTTAAAGACAAATTAAAAAAAATAAAATTGCAAAATATACTTTCTTTTAAACAAAACTGTAAACTTAATTGATTTTTTAAAAAAAGCTTTTCATGTTTTGTTTACATAAAATATATTTGTTTTTAAATATATAAAATTTTGGCACACATTTTTTAATCCCAAATCTAATTCTTTGCATTATTGGTCTTCAGGTCTCTCCATTGTACATTCCTCCAGTGACAACCAAGAACACCAATCAGAAGTACATTAATATATTTCATTGACTTAATTTTAACTTCATGACTGTTATAATTCTGACTCTTCATGTGCATAATTCATCTTTTCAAATGCAATTGCTGCTATGTATCTTATATTTGAAAATAAGTTTATTATATGAAAATGATTTTTCTGAAAGATTTGAACAATTTTAGCACTTTTGATTTTTAAAAAATCATTGTTTGGAGACTGGAATGAGTTATAGAAGATGGAAAGAGACCGAAAAGCATAGGAAGATATCTATAATTGGCCTGTTCTCCATTGGCAGTTGAAAAAGACAAAAAAGAAAAATACAAATTGAAGAAAATCTTTACTATCCCATGAACACAGCAAGCTCTTCAATTGCAACATGTTAATAAGTACATTTGGAAAGTTTTGCGCCTCTTTTGGTTTCAAAAATAAGATATTTCATCAATTATACCACAAAACTCCTCCTTTTGGTCAGTCTTGTAAAACTTTCTAATCACATATTTGCTTGTGCTCTGCATGCAGCCGCTGAAGAGAAAAGGAGGATGGACAAAGGGCAAGAAAAGGAAGAAACCTGTCAAAGACATGAATGCCCCGAAACAGCCCCTGTCTGGGTATCTGCGATTTTTGACAGAGCGCAGGGAACAAGTTCGGCAAGAGAAGCCCAACCTGTCATTTGCTGAAATGTCTAAACAACTTGGGAGTGAATGGTCCAATCTGCAACAGCATGAAAAACAGGTACCTTTTACCTTGAATGTTAATATTTTTTATTTTATAGTATTGGATTAGTTTAGGAAATGTTTTGTTTAGCTAATTTTTAACTGTGTCAGTCTCCCAGTGACATAAATGAATTATAGCCGTATGCCATGAATTAGAAGACTAATTTGGCCCATTTTTTTAAAAATCGTGCAATTTGTTTTCTGTTTCATAATAAAATTTCAAATCTTTAATTGAACTTCAAGTTAAATACCGAAACAATCCCATGGCCAATGTAACTGCAAAAGTTAATTTTTTTTAAATAATTTATTGTTGATTAAGTTGTATTGGTTCACAACTCAGCATTGTCAATCAAATAAATATTTCCTAATAAACAGTGTGTAAGTACTGTGGGTTTTTTTTTTCTTACCTTTGTGGTCAAAGTAATATATTTTCTTAAATAATCCTTTCAGCGGTATTTAGATGATGCCGAGAGGGAAAAGGAAAAATACATGAAAGACTTAGAGGCCTACCAAAAAACAGACTCATATAAAACATTCAGACAACAGTTTGAAAAGAAGATAAAAGGTTTGCTCTACTTTTAACATTAATAGGAACATCATTAAGCAAAATAATTGTTTTGCTGTCAAATTTATTTATATTACATTTCATAGAAAAGAGGTAATTAATTTTTGTCCTTCATTCAATCACTTAACATGTTAATCCTTCTTTTAACTGAAGAGGGCAACAGGTGCACAAGCGTGACATTCCCTGCATCTGGACAAGTAGTTAGCGGGTTTGATTCTTGTCTTAGGTAGCCCCCAGTGTTAGGAACTGCTAACTGGATAAGCAATTCCATAACTTTGTTGTGTTGAGGTAGTTATTAAATGAATCCATGAATAATATTGCTTACGGTTCTTTATTGAAAAACAGTGTCTTCATTATTCCACGTTCCCTCTGGAACTCCCTTACTACTTAAAACCATAAAGTCATCTCTCAAACTCAAGTACTTCAGAAATACAAAATTGATACATAATTAATCTCCACACCAAAACAGGCACCCACTAGACACTAACAAATCACTAACACCCAGCTATGGAAAGGTGGGGGTGACATTGATGAGTCAGCCATTAAGGGCTCTTTAACTGGCTTTGATACTGCTAGAACAAATATGTAAGATCAGCACCAATAAAAAAAATGAAACTACTTGAATAAAAGTACCAGTCGACATAAGAATGTATCTGTTTTTCAATGGCTTTCAGATTTTTAAAATAATTGTATGTATTTTTCTTTAAAAAGTAAACATTTTTAAGACACTGCTAAGTAAAATGGAAATGATAGCAGCAAAAATGTAAATATTTGATTCCTTTGTAACAATATTTTTAATCAATACATTGAATTTATGAGCTGTATTTTAATACAATTTTGACTCTCTTCTATCAGTTCTTGCTGGAATTCATTTAGCAGATATCTTAAACATATTTTCATCATTCGATAATCTTAAATTTATTTTAATCATTCTAGAATCTTAAATTGATTTTTAACATTCTAGAATCTAAAATTTATTTTCATCATTTTAAGATCATAAATTTTAATTCATCATTTTAGAAGAGGTAGACAACACAGATGTTCAGGGAATGCCAGTGACAGGAGGGGGAGAGGAGGAAGAGTCAGGAACATTCGATATCCCCATTTTCACAGAAGAGTTTCTAGATCACAATAAAGGTACATACGATATTCCCATTTTCACAGAAGAGTTCAGAGCTTACAATGGTAGATAAATGGAAGTGAGAGACCCTAGTGGTTTGTGACTCAAAACTTTGTATATTTTTTAAACTTTTTATTTTTTATTTTTAAAATTTAAACTAAAACATTCTTACAATTAAAGCTTCACCTAATCTAGGTAGCAGTTATGGTGGAAATAAAACATGTTTCTTATAAAATTGAAAACTAATGTTTACGCAAAGAGACTAACCAAGGAGAATGTGTTCATGAAGAACATCGCTCCTTGTAGACTTATGTAAAATTCAGATCAGTGTTTTAAAATTTTGTATTTGTGGAACCATAACTTCTTCCTAAAGTAGGTCAAATTTTGAAACGTCCTTGTTTTTTTGTGGTGTTATCTTATTTCAAGCTTCCACATACCTCGTTTTGCGATTTTATTCAAATTTTGTAGCAACATTCCTCCTGAAAACATGTTGATTATATAGCTTCAGTATTTTCAGTATTTTTTAAGTATACTGGTATTAAATAAATCAAACTGCTAAATTTACCAATAAATATTATAAACAACAATTTATGTCAAAGGTCATCATGCACCATCACAATTATTTTCCAACATCCTTGATTGCTTTTTCTACATTAAAAAAAAAGATATAAAATTATTATTTTTTTTTTTTTTTAAACTGAGCTCCAGCTGGTTATCACAGTCATAATTCTATGGAAGATATGCTTGGTCTTATATCATTTAATGTTCATATTTCCAGCAAGGGATGCAGAACTGAGACAGCTGAGGAAACAAACCACTGAGCTAGAGGAACAAAATGCTATCCTGAGTAAACACACAGACAACATGAGACAAGCAGTGGAGAGGTTAGACTTGTGGGGACTTGGGATTAAGTTAAAATGAATTTAGAAAGGAAGAAAATAATATTTAACAGTGAACAGGGCAATTAAAAAGAAAATAATCACATTAAATCAGTCATTGAGGAAAAGGGGGAGGGGGTGTTGGCTGTGAAGTGGGAATGTTATCACATTAATTTAAAAAAAAAACATGGGGGGGGGGGGGGGGGGGGGGGGGGTGTTGACCTAACTAAATATATTAGTATTTATTCAAGGTGATCACCTACCACTTGTCTTATAATCTAAAAGGATATTGCAGTGTGCATGAGTCTGTTTTCCGTGGCTTCCTAAATTTCATCAATGCCAACTAACGTTAATCTGAGAATACCTATTTACACCACCAGGCTGGAGTTGGAGGCCCAGCAGCAAAGGCAAACCAACCAGGCACTGCATGTTCACCTTGAGGCTCTTAGGAGCTGTCTCACATCCTCATTCAGTTCTGTCCCTTTGCCAGGTGAGGATATAACCCACAATCTTATGAACAAAATTATCTCAATTCCTTATCTAGCATTATGTAACGGGAATTTATTGAAAAAAAAAATTATTATTTTTAATAAAATGGCCAAAAGATATAATTCTCTATAATTAGCTTAGTTAATTTTTTTAATTTTTAGCTTAATAATGAGAAGTTTTTATTATTTTATTTTGGTGCACTATTATTTTATTTGTGAAATGATAACATGGTAAAATAATTGATGCTTATTTAAACAAATTTAATTAAATATTTAAATATTCAAATCAAATTTATTAATGATGCTATACAAGAATTCTCTCTGATTCTTCTAAGACCATAGGCTTGAGGCAGCGGGAACTTGAAATAAATACAAAACAACCTTAAAATAAACATTAATTGACTGATTTTAAATTCATGCAGATGTGAAATTACACATTTTTTTTGTAAAAAAACATACAGATGAAATCAAAATGTTTAAAAATAAATAACCTGAGATTCAAAAGCCAGAAGAGACATTTAATTGCAGCCTGGAATGGAGCAAATGATTTGTAAATTGTCTGGTTAAGGACAGTTTTAAGTAGATTTCCGTGTTTTAGAATATTTCTCTAAATGTAATATGAATGCGAAACAGTTACTATCACTGAATATTTATTTGATCTTCTTGTGATTTTAAATTTTTTTTTTTTTAAATTTTAAAAGCTAGTAGTGCACTGTAAATTTCAAAGTTAAAGTACTGTCATGTGATATTAAAGATTTCTATTATTAAATAACAGTTCATGCTTAAATTTTTTTTTTTTTTAAAATTTTTTTTGTGTTTGGTAATTTATCTCCTTCAGGCTCAGGAGAGCTGCCTACTATAGAAACAATCGACACATACATGGCCAAGTTACACAGCCTCATTCTGGACTCACCACAGGAAAATGAACAGCTCATAGCAACTGTGAGGGAAATTGTAGGCCGCCTGAATATTGAGTTGTGATCGGCAATGGACTGTCTGATTTTGATTGCTGAGATGTTCTGGGTTTTAGAATAAGTGATTTCGGTTTGAAAAGATAATAGAATTTATAGATACTGGGTACTTAATGTTATAGAAAATCTTTACCCACCGTTCACATGCTTGTCATGTCCTTGGCACGTTTGTATTGCCTGGTACAATACGACAGTTGGTCACTGTCCAGTCTTTGTATATGTTTCAACAATTGTTGGACTTCTCCGCAGTATGGATTTTCAAACCAAAACGTAAGGTAAACATTGGACATATGAAATTCAGAATTACTTAATTATAGTTTTTTTATGCGTGTGTCACTTTTAATGCATGTTTCTTATTCATAATTTATGGATGCTGTCCTTGGAACTGAAAGGTAGTTTTATCTGGATGTCAACTAATATTTGAATTACATTTCCATCCAAATGTAATCAGTTGATAGTTTCTTCAAGACACTGGTCTTCAAAGGTATGTCTGACAATCAATTAATGACCTTGTTTCAGTCAGAATAGAAGATGCCGGCCCACTTAGTATATTATTAATCAAAATTTCTTTTGTCAATTGGAAATGATGATGGATTTATAGTTTGGAAAGTTGTACATGGAGACATTTTTTTGTTTTTGTGAACTTCAAGTTGAAGTTGAATGCATGATGGCTGATGATTAAGCAAAGGGGGCTAATCTGTTTTTGCTTTTTATGCATCTTTTTTTTTTTTTTTGGTTGACCAAACAATAAGGATCAGACGTGGATGCTATAATAATGTTATTCTTAAGTAATGCAAGAATTTAAGCTTGACTGCTAGATGTTGGCTACATTAGGAAGCTTAATATTTTTTATATAATGGCATTTACATGTTTACATAAATTATGTAATGGTTATGATACACTGTGTTCAAACTGCTGGACTGCTACTTACTACTAGGTTCCCGTTAGCAGTTAGGTTAAGCATTAGTGAATGTTACTTTCATTTATTTTTGGTTTCATGTATAAATTAGATGTTGTTCATTTATTTAATGGTACTATTTGTAAATAAACTTAAATTTCATAATCATTTGTTCATCTGAATCTGTGTTATAGAAAGTTTTTGTTCAGAGCAGGAAAATATTTTTGGGGAGTTGCTTTAAGAATAACGGGATAAAAAAATCATTTCCCCTATTTTTACTTTAAATGGATTATTTTGACATTTTAATTTTTTCCTCCAACTGCCTTGATTAGATTATGTGTTTGAAATGGGCACATTATATTATTATTATTGCATCATCCTCAAAATATTTCAGCAGCCAGGAAGTGATTTTATAAGCAATCAAAATGTATTATTTATCGAAGATAAAATCTATAAGTAAATTTCAGAAGGTTAAACAAAATTAATGTCCCAACTTTATTCAGTATATGGCCATGCTATTATTTAGTGTCAACAGCCCTTTTTTAATTCATATGCCAATGCGGCTGATGTCTTCCAGCTACAATGGTTATTGCGCCTTATCATCAGAGCATGTGCAGCTTTTGTTAAGCAAATATTCCTATATATATAATCATCAAATGTAAACCCTTAGTTTCAAAACGATGTCTTGATAAGGCTGCCAAAGAATGTATTCTTTTCTTCTTGGAGCAAGGTATCTATGAGATTGCAATTCAAGTAAATTGTTTCTTTATAAAGTCAGTTAACCATGAGGGAAAGGCCCACGATTACAAACAAGATTAGCTGTAAAAAATAATACCCCTTACATGCAGTTAGTGATCATTTAATTTTTTCATAAATTAAAAGCATGAATTAAACAAGAAATCTTGAAGAAAATATTAATGATCTAAGTAAAAAAAAACTGTGTTGAGATAAAGAAATAGATTTATTATTACACACATTTAAAAAAAAAAATTAATACAAATAGAAAAAAAAATATTTAAAAAATCACAGTCAATGCTTTTAAAAACACAATTGTCTTATATATATTAACATAAATTTAAAATAATCTGTATCAACATTTTAATTTTTTTTATCAAGTAAGTGTATAAAGTCTCCTGTGTTAGGCATATCCATAAATTATGTTAAAATTAGAAATAACCAAAAAACAATGACAACAGCTATGCCTGAACTTTCCTTCGCTAAAGTTACTGGACAAAGCATGGATTAAAGTAACGCACATTATAGTGCTAACTGTTTGGAATTTATTCTGCGTGCGCCTATTGAACACAGTGCTAAGCCATGTGTTCACCTGTTGAACACAGTGCTGAGCCATACAAGCATAACTAGAGAATTATTATTTGTAAATAAAAAATAGGCTCACTGAAAAATAAAGGTCCTCATTAGTGCTTTCTCCAGTCATGTCAGTCTATGACCTCAGTGCCACTTGTACCTTTTCTGAGTACAACTTGTACCCTGTCTGAGTACAACTTGTACCCTGACTGAGTACAACTTGTACCTTATTGGAGTACAACTTGTACTCTGTCATTTTTCAGCTGAGCTTTAACAATAACTAAAATATATGGACATGCTTAACGCACAAATATGAGCAGGTAGTTTTTTTTGAATTTTTTTCTCTAATAACAGAGCAGCAATATTGTGCCTATATTGCAACAGTTCACAACAATGTTGTTGTACAATATGGAACTCTTAAATTACCGATTGAGCTAAAGGACAAAACAGCAGTGCTGCAGAATAAACACAATCAGCAAAATGTAAATATTGTAAAAGAATAAATAGTGTATCACAGTTGCTTCTAAATCAGTTGTTCTCAACCTTTCTTATGCTGCGACCCTTTAATACAGTTCCTCATGTTGTTGTGACCCCCAACCACAAAATTATTTTTGTTGCTACTTCAGAATTGTAGACTATATGTGTTTTCCAATGAAAGGGTCGTTCGACCCCCAAAGGGGTCACAACCCACAGGTTGAGAACCGCTGTTGTAAGTAAAATAAGTTTTAAAAAATATGAATTTTTCGCAAAAGATAACTAGATAATATAATTCTCTTGTTTGCTTGAATTAAAGCATTTTGTCCTCTTTTAGTCTAACAGAGACGAACTTTAAGTTATTTAAATATGTATTTATTTATTTAAAAAGAGGTTCAATTTTAACAAGAAATTTAATTTCATTTATAGATAAATTGATGAACTTTGTTTAATGTCCAGTGCAATTTCCTGTAAGACTTCTAACGAAAAACTGATTTTAATAAATGTAAAGAAATTTAAATCCAATCATGCAATTTTGAACAAACCATAAACTGTACATAAAATTTAAAGAAAGTTGATAAATTGATAAATATTAAAAAATAAATATTAAAATAAAGAACTGCTTTAAAAATTGCTGGGCACAAATTACAATTTGATTATGATACCGAAGCTGGGTGGAAACCTCTTGCTGTATACCTGCCATGATATGCGTGAAATAAACTTTATACCAGACGCCATGAATATTTAATTTGGCTACAAGGAAAATATGTTATTTCTTACAACTCACATTTTGAAAATGGCATCATCATTACCTAGTAATTTAAAATTATGTGTACTAGTCTATTTAAAATGTATGCTTCTAGCTTTAAAGTTATTCAAAATTAAATTCCCTCTGGGCCAAAAATATTTAAAAAAACAGTTAAACAAAAGCTAACTCAGTTGATACTTTTCTCATAAAACGGGTAAAGGTTTAATTGAAATTTCAATTAAAATAAGACAAAAAATAAATAGACACTTTTGAATAATCTGGACATTTTTAATTCTTGCCTTGACTCATTAAAATGATGTATTATTTTATAGAAGAGCAATATTAAAACATGTTTGTAAGTTGTAACTGGACGGAGTCATAACCTATACATAAGGGTATAAATTGATAAATAAATTAGCTTTGTTTTTTTTTTCCCTGTGGTGGGCCCTTCAGTCCACGTCCAGTCACAGCTGGGAAGTAAGTAGTAGATGAATGAATATAATATAATTAAATTTTTCTAAATTCTTTTTTCCAAACATATGAAGTGATCTTTGAATGAAATTATCAATGAGCAATTAATATGACAAGAAAAACGCATATTTCAACAGAACATGGCAACACATTTCTCAACATTACATTTTACTGATTCTTATTCAAAGAGTACTTGATGGGTATGTTCATATAAAAATATTTATATTTTGATACTGAAAAGAGTATATTAACTAGATCTATGTTTTATCATAACATGGCTGTTCAAACTTTTAAAGCTGGTAAGTTAAAGCATAAGAGGAATGGGTGCCAGATTTTTGACAGAATAAAGTGAAACACATTTTGAAAGATATCTGTAATCAGCACAGAGCTGTACAAGTATTTCCACCTGAGTTACAATTAAAACAGACATTTACAGAAAAGTATTAATTTTCAATTTGTAAGCATCAATAATGTCCTAATAAAAAAAAAATACATATCAAAGGTTTTCTTTTAGCATGAATAGAATATGTTTTATATAATGTGTCTCACAACTTTGATGAATCACAATATCCTGAAGATGATGTTAATGTGATTTTCACAATGTGCAAAACTCAAATTATTATAGGGCCTTAATGTCATCACTGGATTGTATAAAGACAAAAACCTTTCCTGGCACAAGGATGTTTGGTTCTTTCTTGGTCGCCCTGGCATACAGAGGGAACTCTTTTTGCTCTCCAGTCTCATTGGCTGGAGTCAGAAAGTAAAAAAATGATGATTCATTTTTTAAAGATAAAAAATTTATTGCTAATAATTTAATCATTGCTTAATGGTGTTTGCGGATTTTGTTTAATTATTTAAATTAATGAATTAGTTTTGATATTTTTCCTATATTAGCAAGGAAAAGAATAAAAAAAAACAATAATAGACTATATTAAAGTTAATTGCAGTGGAATAAGGTATACCAAGCCATGAAATGATAAATAATTACAACTTTGATATACAAAGTATATTTCATGTCTAAGATTTTTAAAAAATGTAATTTACTTGTAGAATGTTAGTAATTAAAAAAATAAGTTAGGCTTATAATGGCATTTAAATAACAGTAGATAAAAATACTACATTTAAAAGACTACTTAAGCTGTTAATATAACAGCTACTGTACAACTATAAATAAACCTTTTTATCTATCAATAAAACAGCTAATGTGAAGCTATAGATAAACCTAACAAGTTCTTCATAAAACAACTACTGTACAGCTGTAGATAAACCTATTGATCTCTCCATTAAAAAGCTACTGTGAAGAACAGCACATTTCAGAGGATGACAAGAATGTATTTAACAATAACTGACATAACATAAAATGCCAATTGCAGATCTCACCAAAAAAAACAAACTATCATAGTATAGAGCAGATAGGGGCATATAGGTACCTAGGTGTCATCATTCATTAATAATAAGCTGACATCACCTGAACACGGTAAAATATTGTATGAAAAAAAGTCAACCAAAGACTTCCAACTTTAAAAAAAACGTGCATAATTTCGGCGTAAACAATTAAGTTACTATATAGAAGGTAACCATGGGCGCCCGCAGAAAACTTGCTGGGGGGGGGGGCAAAAAAATCGATTAACTTTCCAGGGGGGGGGGGGGAAAAAAAATTTTCCAGGGGGGGGGGCAAAAAAACTTTAGTAATGTTTTAATATAGTTTTAATTTACTGTAGCGTATTTGTATGGTGAACGAACGGACAGGACATCAGCTTAGTTACTTTCTCTTTATTTGCTCTTTACTTTAATAAATTTTGTGTCTATTTTTGTCTAAAAAAATTGTATCTTATCAATCCAAGGGGGGGGGGGCAAGTTGCCCTTACCTGCGGGCGCCCATGAAGGTAACCTACTAAACTTCAGTGTTACCACGCTGGTGTGGGAATTCATCCTCCGATATCCAACACTCATTGAATCATTGAATAGACTAAATCAAGAAACCTCGTAACGTCACAAAAACTAAACATCCTATCAAAGAAAAAGGCTGCTGTAAAACTTAAATTTTAAAAAAATAAGAATGTAGGCCTACATCCCACCCTCTTCATCACAAACACCTAAGATCAGGGCGAATGCTTCTTACTTACGTCAGGACCAGAAAGATTTAAACATTCATTTTTTCCCCCCAGTCTGT